GGGGAACGAGATGATCTTTAAGGTCCCTCCCAACCCCGGCAATTCTGTGATTCCCACTGTTTTTCAGGCATGAGCCACAGGTCAAACACTCCTCTCGAGGAACAGATAATCCTTCCCCTCCCCGCAGCAGCACTTTCCAGGAATTACCCTTATTAACCCAAAAACCAGCAAAGGGAAGGAATCAAGCTTCATCTGCCTTCAGTCGCCCACCCTGATCTTCCAGTTCTACCTGAAAGCAGTGGGTAGAGCTCAACCTCGTAAAATGTGGCCGCCGCACGGGACCACCTCACACCGCGTGGGTTTGGACGAGGTTAAATCCTGCAGGTGGGTCACTGCAAGGTGAAGGAGGTGGCTCTTCCAAACAGAACAATCTGGGGGTTACTTACTGAGGCGCTTTCTGTTCCCAAGAGGAAATTTCCAAAGGCAAAATTTTCTATTTTTTTAAGGGCTTTTGCGTGAGGCGCAGATGCCCCACGGGGCTTCTCTCACCTTGGTTGAGATAGGTGAGCGTTTCGTCGTGGAGCTTGACAGCCGGGGACGTGGCGGCGCACAGCACGTACTGGAAAGGCAGAATTTTGTTCTCATTTTCAGGAGGCAAACTCGATTCTTCCTGTTTGAAGATGGGCAGGGCAAGGACATCGCTGCAAAAGAGATTTGTCAGGTTCATTCCCGAGCCGCCTACAGTGAGATGACGGGGTTGGTATTTAATTCTTCCTCTTGGGAAAAGCTTGGAGCGTTAATTGAGTTTACCCCGACCTCTCTCTGCAGAACTGCGAAGGAGCATGAAAGTCCGAGAAAAGGACCTGACACCTGCTTCTGCTAAAGCTTTTTTCAAGCGTGCTTCCCTGCCCGCCCAAACCTCACGTTTCTTGCTTTGAAGCTAAGAGACAACACGAGTTTGAGTTTCGGACCGAAGCCCAAATCCTCCAGGCTCTGACCAGGAAAGAGCCCGAACGCAGCAGGATGAGGCCCTCCTCAGCCTTCCCCAAACCCATCGACCCAAGGGCCCGTCGTGCCGGCCACCAGCAACCAGCGCGGCCCAGCCCGAACTCAGGAT